ATAGACAAGCAAACATGCATTCAAACCACAGGTGTATGTGTATGAACACACATACACATACACCTGCACATACACATACACATACACATAGACTTACTCAAAGACATTCACATATGCATACACATATTTGCATATGGATACACATACACTTACACTTACACTTACTCTTACTCTTACTCTTACACATACACATACACATATTAGCATATGGATACACATACACATACACTTACACTTACACTTACTCTTACTCTTACTCTTACTCTTACTCTTACACATTTACATATGCATACACATAAACATGTGCACTGATACATACAAACACACACACAACACACACACACACACACACACACACACAAACACACACACACACACACACACACACACACACACACACACACACACACACACACACAAATACACACACACACACACACACATACACACACACACACACACACACACACACACACACACACACAACACACACACACACACACAACACACACACACACACACACACACACACCACACACGCAACACACACACACACACACACACACACGCACACACACACGCAATACACACACACGCAACACACACACACGCAACACACACACGCACACACACACACGCAACACACACACACACAACACAACACACACACACACACACACACACACGCACACACCAACACACACACCAACACCACACACACACACACACACACACACACACACCACACACACACAACACACACACACACACACACACACACACCACACACACACACACACACACACACACACACACACACACACACACACACACACACACACATCACACCACACACACACACACACACACACACACACACACACACACACACACACACACACACACACACACACACAACACACACACACACACACACACACACACACACACACACACACACACTAATACACGCACACATGTACTCACACTCACACTTACTCTCACAAACACACACAAGATTAATATACTTTTTGATCCACTTTCTCTCGAATACTCACAACATTTTCTCATCATGCGTAGAGATCAACAGGAACCTATGATGAGGAAGGGCTGAAAGTGACGGCACAGCTGCTCATGGCCAATCCTGATGCCGCGACCTTGTGGAATTTTCGAAGGGAAATTATCCTGGCCATGAAAAGGTAATTTATTTATTTATTTATTTATTTTTATTTTTTTTTTATTTATTTATTTATTTATTTATTATTTTATTGGTATGTTTATGCTTTGATTTGAATGTTCTCATTTTGAGATTATATATTAGGTCAATGTAGGTGTTATACAACATATGCACAATTATGCTCTCAGTGTTGTTGAAGTAATAATTTTGATTAATTCATTGTGTGTGTAATATATATCATCATCATTGCTGTTGTCACTATTATTATTATTTTTGTTAATATTGTTTATTATTATTATTATTATTATTATTATTATTATTATTATTATCATTATTATTATTATTTTATATTATTATTATCATTGTAATTGTTATTATGTATTCATTGTTATTTTATTATATTATTATATTATTATTATTATTATTATTATTATTATTATTATTATTATAATTATTATTGTTATTATTATTGTTATTATTATTATTATTATCATTATTGCTATTATTATTATTATTATTATTATTATTATTATTATTATTATTATTATTATTATTATTATTATTATTATTATATTATTATTTTTATTTTATCATCATAATTGTTCGAGTAACATTAAAACTTTTATTTTACAATTTTTATTCTTATTAACCATGTTCCTACAACAGTGATAATTATAAACTTGTTCCCCTGTCCTCCAAGTACTAGACTTTGGCCAAATGTTTCAGTGACGACCATGAGTCTTGGGACAAACTCCTCCAGGGGGAACTGTCAGTCGTGGAAAACTGCCTGATGAAAAACCACAAGAGCTATGGGGCTTGGCATCACAGGTGCTGGGTCATGGAAAACTTTCCCAACCCTCCCTGGGACAAGGAACTGGCTCTCTGCGATAAATATCTCAAGGCAGATGAGAGGAACTGTAAGTAATTTTTAGGAATTATTTTCTATGTGCGAGTCCTGTTTTCATATAAAGAGTGTTTGTGAATCTACTTCCGGTATTTCAAGTAATACACTTTGCACTTTACAGTCCACTGTTGGGATTACCGTCGATTTGTTGTTGCTCGAAGTAGCAAGCAGCCAGAAGATGAACTGAAGACATCGCAGCAGCTAATAGAACGAAATTTGAGCAATTATTCGGCCTGGCATTACCGCTCAAAGCTGCTACCACTTGTGTATCCACCATTGCCAGACACCCCACATCCAGTTCCAGAGAACACCCTGATTAAGGTCTGTCTAGATGTTGCTGAATATAAATATTTTCCAGACATTTTACTTACTTTTAGATTTTTCAAACTGAAAAAGTTATAGTAGCTAATTTAAGTTTTATTTATTGTAATTGAGTTAGATTTTCCAGACATTTTACTTACTTTTAGATTTTTCAAACTGAAAAACTCATAGTGAGTTAGCTTTGAAGAGATATTGTTAAATTTTACTGCAGATCATGTCCCAATTAAACTAGATTTTGAATATACAGTTGGATAAATGTTATCATATACTCTCCAGTATACAAGAATTTAGTGCAAATTAAGTTTTTTTTTTTGTAGTTTAGAATACTGATTTACTTCTGTTTGAGCATAGTGGAAAATATACATTTTTAAGTACAAGGGAAATTTCAATTGATTAAGAAGTTATGATTGGTTAAGTGTATCCTCGAGTGACATTTCAAGGTTATTTTTTCTTCATTTGAGTTATCATCATTTACTATTTTTGGTTACTTTAAACTTTGTAGGAGTTGCAGACAGTGGTTGAAGCAGTCTTTACAGATCCTTCTGACCAAAGCCCATGGTTCTTCCTGAGGTGGCTTGTCAACAGACAGGAAAAGAACCCAAGGTAAAAAGATTCACATTTTTTATTAATTAAAAGAATGATTTTTAAGAAATAGAATCAGGTCATCTGTTTCTCATCTTATTTTTTAATTTTCCAGATTGTTACAGACTGGATTTATCAGCAGTGGAACCAAGGATAGCTTGCTTGTGTGTGTGTTCTCAAAACCTCTCATGCAGCAAAACATCCCACAGATTTCTGTTGATGATGAAGATGTTGGAAACAATGAGTGGCATGCACCTGATAATGAGACTTATTCATATGTATGGGTTAGTATCATTATTATTTATTTTCCAGCAACTGTTCAACTTACATAAACATTATATATATTTTCTTTCATCTTTTTATAGTGTGAGACTACTTTTTCAGGTCTCACAGAGGCAAATTTCAGTCCCTGGCTTTTCAAGTGCTAGATTTTTTACAACAGGAAAATATATATAGATATTTCCTTGCCAAACAGTAGCTACTGGATATGTTAATGGACACTATATATCTCATTGATAAGGAAAGAGTCATTGAAAAGCCATCAATGTGACAAATGGCTATAATATTATCCCGTTTTTTATGGTAATACCAACATCGGCGTCTGAAAGCCAATGGAATATCCAGTGACGCCAACGTTGCTGTCATAATTCCATTTGATTTTAGTTGTTGCTTTGGGATCCCGTATTCTGTACTGGATCTATTTTTAGACTGTATACTGCCTAGAAATTCTGTAACTCCACCCACTATCCCTGTTCTCACAAGTCATGTACTTCAGCTAGACTATGCCCCAACCCATACTTAGAATGGGGAACTATCGTTGGCAGAGTCTACATCACAGTTTCCCCCTCTGTGGTCCTTCCCCTGTCCTCCATATCCTTCTATTCCTTTACTGTCCCGGGGGGTACACTTCCCCCTCCTGTGTTTATTGCTTGTCCTCATACCCCCCTCTCCCTCTCCTTCATTTCTCAAACATTTTACACCAGATATCTTTGAATGATTTCATATTTGATAAGCTTTGCATTATTGTCTTATGCTTTTTCTCTCTCTATTTTGTGTGTGTGTGTGTGTGTGTGTGTGTGTGTGTGTGTGTGTGTGTGTGTGTGTGTGTGTGTGTGTGTGTGTGTGTGTGTGTGTGTGTGTGTGTGTGTGTGTGTGTGTGTGTGTGTGTGTGTGTGTGTGTGTGTGTGTGTGTGTGTGTGTGTGTGTGTGGTGTGTGTGTGTGTGTGTGTGTGTGTGTGTGTGTGTGTGTGTGTGTGTGTGTGTGTGTGTGTGTGTGTGTGTGTGTGTGTGTGTGTGTGTGTGTGAGTGTGTTGTGTGTGTAAGTGTGTGTGTAAAAGAGAGAGAGAGAGGAAGAAACTGTATTAGATAAGAGACATTCAGGATGACACAAACAAATTTACCGTTTGCTGGCAAGAGCCCCTTACATGAGCAGTGTGCACTTTTTAAATCACTGGAGCAAACAGGTTAAAAACCCAACATTCATTGTCTTTAGTATAAAATAATATCTAGATAATATTTTCTTTCTCTTTTTTCTGGGGGTAAAATGAAAACCAAATAGATTAAATCAAAACTACATAATACAGTTAAATTACATATTTGTACATTACATTTCCTTTACTGACAAGTAACTGATTTTTTTTTTCTTTTTTTTTTTTTTTTTTTTTTTTTAGGTTGTACAGTTGAAGGAGCTATCAGAGGGTGAGCACTCCATTGCAATCAGCTTTAATTCTTCCACCAAAAAAAGCTTGACGGTGTCCCCTGGAAAAACCTCGGTAGCGTGGATGACAGAGCTGGAGGAAGAACTAACAGGTCTCACAAGATCGACGTTGGAAGAAGTCAAGCAGAACTGTATAACTTTAGACGAGTTAGATCCTGGTAACAAATGTAAGTAAATGATGGCTAGCTTGATTTTTGTTTTCCAGTCTCGAGTTGCTGCTTACCTTCTTTAGTATAGGAAACCATAGTTAACGAGTTAATCTTTTAAGATCAAGATTACTGACTATATTGTATATATGAAAATCTTACAAAGAGAGAGACTAGAAAATCAGATTTGGTTAATTTAAAGACATTGTACGTAATAGTAAAATTATACTCTGTATGGTTAATTTTTTAGTGCTTAAAATAAGTGATCATAAAGAGAAACTCTTGACTAATATATTTTTACAGGGGTGTTATTAACCATAGTAGACGTGATGTGGGCTCTAGACTCGTACAGCCATCAAGCAAAGATCAGCAGTTACCTCTCACAACTTCAGGACCTTGATCCACTTCGCACAAAATATTATGCAGATATGAGTAAGTTCCAATCTGATATTAAGGTATTATCATAAGACAGTTGATTACCAAATGTATGAAGGGGCTTCAGAAAGTTTGTGGAAAAAGGATAGTATGAAAAAACAATTTCAGTTATGATGTCCCCCCCCCCCCAACATATGCTCCATTAAGGTTGATACAATTCTGCAAACGTTAATACCAACCTTTAAGTCCTTCTGATTAGAATTGAGGGTCTTGTGATCTGAACCATGTGAGACCAGCTCTACATTGTCAATTGATGAAAAATTGGTACCTTTCAATGATTTTTTTCAACTTTGGAAACAAAACGAAGTTGGATTGGGCTAAATCAGGCTTGTAAGGGGGATGTCGGATGATTTCCCATTGAAATTCACATAGCACAGGTATTGTTTATCGAGCACCATGAGTATTTGCATTGTCGTGGTGGAGGAGGACACATTGATGCAGCTTTCCAGGGTATTTTTCCGAGATATTTTTGGACAGTTTTCTCTAAAGGCCTTCAAAATAAGCAGATGTAATCATCTTATTCTTGAGGAAGTCAACTAGCAAAATCCCCTCTGCATCCCAGAAGACAGTGGCCTTGACCTTTCCTCTTGAATGCTCAGATTTTGCTTTGACTGGTCCACTTCTACCACAGGGCAGCCACTGCTTTGATTGAATTTTGTCCTTAGGATTGCACTGGTAGAGCCATGTTTCATGGCGCCTCTGAACCTTTTCACAGAAAAGCTTCAGAGGCCCCATCCCACTTGTTTAAAATTTCCATTGAAAGATCTCCCTCGTTTGCTCTGATCTGGTCGTTAGGATTGCAATGGTAAAGCCATGTTTCATGGCGCCTCTGAACCATCTGGTCACAACAACCTAGGGACCCATCTAGCAGAAAGCTTGCTTAGTCCCAAACTCTCCACGAGAATTGCGTGTGCAGAACCCACAGAGATGTTGAGTGTGTTTGCTACTGATTCAGTGGTTATTCGTCTATCCTTTTCGATCAAGTCATGAACAGCATCAATGTTTTCCTCACAAACTGACATTGTTGGCCTGCCATTTAGGGGTTCATCTTCAACTTTGGTTTTTCCACTTCTGAAGAGACTTATCCATTTGTTGCTTGTTGACTTCTTTGGGGGTATCATCACCATAAACTTGTTACAGAGCATCAGTGATTTGGCTATTCTCCCAACCAAGTTTCACCATGAACTTTATGTTTGTTCAGGTCACGATTTTGGTGAATTCCATATTGCTTGAATGGTGCCAGACTTTCAACTGGCAGTGATGTGTTCTTACCTGCATTTAAGGATTTATGTTTGAACATATTATAACATATTGGTACAAGAATGTTCAGGTGCATTAAAATCAAAATCTTTCCAAACATTTATTAGTTATACACTTTTTCCACAAACTTTTTTGAAGCTCCGAAGTATGTTAAATACCTAACCATAAACATCTGTTTAAAAGCTAATGCCTTTAACTTTTACCTATGAATGGCATGTATGATGTACCATACTGAAAATAGCCATCTCACTAGGCACACAGTGATAGTCTTTCTATCAGACTTATCTCTGTGGTAGCTGGATAGTTTTGTGGGAATTTATGCCAGAAAGCAGCATTTAGACCTTATTGTCATACAAGTATATGTCTATTTGAGCCATAAACCAGGGATTTCTCAGTTGCTCATACTTGGCATGTGCTGCCATGATTACATGTACATTTATACCTTTAGGTGTTTTAGCTAGGTGAAAAGCATTGGGTTCAAGTTAGGGGATGTAGCAGTTCTTTAACTTACACTAATACTTTTCCAATGCTTTGTTTGAAACTTAACCTTTAAGTAAATAAAAAACAACAAAGGGACATTTTATGTAGCACACTAAAGACTGAGGCCCATTGCTGGGGTTCACCCCTACCCTAGACGTCAGCCTTCAACTAGACTAATTTTGCATGGTCTTCTCTTCCCCTTTTCCTTTTTTTCACTTTTTTACTTTTTAACACTTTACTGGCAAACCCATTAATTCCTAACCTTATCCCTCCCTCAGTACTTGTACCAGAACTGTCTCCATCTCCCCATCAGACTCATTGACTATGATGCAGTATCAATACAATGCTACACCATTCCTCTAGAAGCCACCCAGTCTTCCATCAATATTTCATAGACATGACTTCTATCATGGTGTTTATATTGGTGAAGAGTCCCTCCCTGTCTGACCATATCAGCCTCCCCTATCAATATCAAAATTGCTGCCATCTTGCTGCTCCACAGCTTGATGCCTTCCATGTACCCAACCTGGTCATGATCAGTCAAACATTCCAATCTCAACTTCACTGGTACCTACCCCTCCTCCTCCTCTTCACTTGACTCATTGCATAAGACAAATTAAATGTTCCACCCCATCTTCTACCACATCCTCTCCTTTTAAAAGTTCTAATGACAATGCTGCTGTTGTTTTTTAGACCAGTTCAGTATTAAATCTGGATTTAGAGGTGTTTCCCTTGTGGTTAGCAGTACTTTTGGAGGTATGAATTGATAATTGGGAGACAATATTCAAATATGAGAGGACTGGAGACACTGCCAGCTAAATTTGCCAGGATATTAGATAATGTATAATATATATTGTATTTCACTTTTTTCAGAGAGCAAGTTATCTATGGAGACAGCTTTGAAGAAACACCGTTTAACAACTGAAAATGATGATCAATTCAAGCTAAATGAAAGAAGGCTTACCCGAATAGCCTACAGTCACCTACTAGCATGCAGCAAATCTGTTGATCTGAGTTGTAATGAGCTGTCTTCAATACAGCCACTAAAGTCTCTTGTAGCATGTAAGGAGCTGCTTTTGGATGACAACCAAATTGCTGATGTTACTCCTCTAGTATTTCTCAAGAAACTGGAAAAACTCTCTCTGTCCAAAAATAAAATTGACTCGCTTGATCAGCTCAAACCTTTACAAGAAATTCTTACATTAAAGGAGTTAACCTTAAGCAGTAACAACATATGTAATATTGAAAATATTGATGAACAGGTTAAGGAATTCTTGCCACAGGTTCAAAGAGTTATTTGGTGAAGTACAGTCTGTATAGATATGGTGTGAAAAAGAACTTGTTATAAATGAACAGATCTATAAGTATACGTCATGGAAAATTTTGTGGACTGTGGTTCCATTTTTGCGCAAAGTCTAAAGATTACAGATCTAGTTGTAGCATGTGCATATGAAGAATCTGAACTTTATAATTCACTAAATGCATTAGCAATCAGGGAGATTTTCATGCTTTACCTTTTTCAAAATTTATATTAATTTTTAGTCGATTTTACTGCTAGAATGGAAGCTAAGATGTTACCAAAAACATTTTTTATAGTTTTTCACCAATTCTGTTTATTGAATTTTTTTGTTTACATTTTCTATGGGCTATTTAAAATTGTTGAATTTTTTAAAAAACACTGTTGTAATTCCATTTATATTGTTATATGCAATTTTTGTTAGTTAAAATTTTTACTCCTGGCTGGAATAGGGCCAGGTAGAAAGCTTTCAACTATATGATATGTTTAAATATCTTTCCAACTTTATCAAAATTGTATTTATTATAATATGTATACATTTAATAATATTAAAGAGAAACTTACTGTGTCGTAATTTTATTGAAGCACGCAAACAGAGATTTTGCAATGTTTGCAGAAGACTCTTGCCAAAGTTGTATTTATTTAAATTTGAACTTACATTATAACATTTTATTGTCACTGTTGGGGAAAATCAAATAATGATATTATCCCTAATGATTGCTGGTCACTCTAATATGTTGTTCTGTAATGGGGATGACAGAAATAAATTTTATGGTCGCATTAATTATACTTATTATAGACCTTGTCGAAAGAACTCGGTATGTTAGTTGTTACTAAGTAACTACACACGAGTGGTGAGAGAAGACTAACCTTCAAGCTATTGGATATCAACTTGTTACTTCTCATAGAATACTGAGTTTAGATCCCCATCTGCACCATCTTGCAATACCCATTGAGGAATGTAGTAAATTTATTACTGGCACTTCAAAAGGATTTCCCGTGCTGGCAGTCGAGGTAAATATCAAGATTAACCACTGGTGTGATACTATCAATTCATGTGCCATACAGCATATGTTCAGTATTTTACCTTAGTTTCCTTTATTATGCTGGCTTTCCCTTAATTTTTCTGTTCATTCATTTTTTTTTTCCCCTTTCCTCTTTCTTTTAATTTAGTGAGCCCCCCAGGTTGCAGGAGCTGTAGAGGTGGTTGCTACAGCTCCTGACTTCAACTAATGGATTTGCTCTAAAATAGTAAGAAGACCATCAACATTTCTTATTCTGAGTAACTGACAGCAATTTATCATTAAATGGCATTAACTTGATCCATTCCATTATAATCTTGTCTCACACCTATTACCTGATATGCTGAAGCAATTATAGGCTATCCCAGACTTTATTGCAAAATTTTAAACAAAAAAGGGGCCAGAACTCAAACATTGATGCTTTTTAAGTAGAGCTGAGATTCATCTGTTTTATATGAACATTTTTTGACGACAAGTATGAGTCCAATCCAACAATCCTTTCAAGTGCTTTTGTCCTGAAACCATTTTGTGCTTAGTATCAGTCAATGGGACAATAAGCTTTTGCCACTGCTGGAAATAGGTAATTCTTACATGCTATAAGGAACATGCCCCATTTTGAAACCTGTGTTCGCATGAAGGATAGATCTGCGAGTAATGTCAGTATGACTTTCATAGTATCACCAGGTCAAACTTCCCAGGTGGCATTTTTTCTACTACGTAGCTTTTTCTACTACGTAACTTTGTCTACTTGTTTCACCTACAGTTTCCCTGCTTATATCCAAATGTGAGAAATGGAATATTTTGATAACTTTGTGCAAATAGGCACTGCAGCTTGTTTAGTATGACAGGCCTGTCCACATGTGCAGGCATGATTTACAGGCAGAAAAGTACACACAAGCATAGTTGACCTCACAGCTAGACATTACTTGGTAAACAAGTAGTTTCCCATTGTTTTCTCAACTTTGATGTCACCTCTACAGGTGCCTGTAGTTAATAATTTAAAATCATTCCTTTCCTTGTAATAGTCATAACTAAACTTACATTATATATGCAAGAATACAGGCTCATACATTTAGTCTGCTTATAGCCATTGTATACATATGAAAATTATTGTTAGTGTTTTCAGGCAACTGGGTCTTGTTTTAAAATGTTACATTAAACAAAAGGAATTTAGCAATGCATGAAAAGATTAATCATTAAAATAAAATTACTCTTAAAAAGATATATAAACGCACACTGCAGCCCCATAGGATAATCCAGCCCTATATGTAACAACACACAGACTGATTCATTGAAGATATATTCAACATGAAAATACCAAATTTGGAAATATTCTAAGTAAATGATTCCTAAGCACAACAATTTGGAATGTATAGGAAATTTCCAAATTTAAAAAGGATTCACTATTGGTAAACCGACATTTCCTTTGCCTTTACTGTTGCCCATGTGGACAGGCCTTAATGGTTAATGGGATGAATAACCCCCTAGGGGTTAGTAAAATTGTAGTTCTGGTTCAATATTTAACGTCTTTTCATACTGGTAATCTACCATATAATTGTCCTAAGTCAGTTATACAGAAAGGTTTAATATTCGATGTTATGCTCTCATCCAAACTATTCCTTGGGGATATAGACGGATATAGACAAGAAAAATCAGATTATGGTCAGTCATGTGTTTATTACCTTATAATAAGCTTACAGGAAAATATTAAACCAAGATTTTTTTTTTTTAAGAAGTACTTTTCATAAGGCAAGATACCTTTTCAAACCCTGGTAGACTTATTCCACGTTCTGCTCTTTGTGCCAACTGTCAATGCTGGAATAGAAAAATTGCCATTAGTTACCTTGTTAAACAGTAAATCATACTGCATATAAACTAAGATTAAGTATGAATTTATTACAAGCTGATCACAGTAGTTGGGTTTTACTCTGGGAAATTTGCAGATAACTTTATATTCAACCATCCAGGTCCTAAAATTCAAACTTTTACACATTTAACATGTCAAGTCTAAACCTGCCTTTATCAAAGAGAAAAAGGCAAAATGGCTTCAACTTGTTATTCTTGTCCATTAAAAAAACAAGTAAACAGTAACAGTTTGCTTGGTACTAGGATGGACACTGGTTTATTATAACATCTCTAAAGTGATCACAGCTTCCTCTTCAATAGTTCCAAGCGCTAGCTATAGAATATTCACAATGCATATAGCATTTTATGTTCAAAGCTCAAACTAGTAGGATTCTTCATTTTGTATAAATTTTCATGCATTGCCTTAGGTAAAGACAGTATAGAACACTTACCATTAAGAGAAACGGCACTTGGATTTTTAAGAGGCCTTCCATCAGTTTTTTTTACCCATGTTTGAACCTGTGAAAGTTTAAGTAATGATTAAAAAATCAGACTGGCTAGTCTACTTGGTAAAGTGAGGAATCTTGAAAATTAAGAATAGAAACATTTCAGATAAATTAAAAAAGCAAACATGTAAAGTAATAATTAACTTGCTTTCCTCAAAGGCAAAGGAGGCAATGTTTATCACCTTGATTAATCTTGTCCATTTTCTACGCCCAAAGAACAAGAAAAGTTTTCTGGGTTCTAGCATGGACATAAATAGGAGTTAGTATTAGTCACAGTAATATCCATTAAATTTCTTTACTATCATACTATACATGAACCTAACTTTTGAGTACAAATACTCTTCAAGTATGCCAGCTTTGCTGTTCAGGTTGAAGAGCTTTTAATTACACAAAACCCAAGGTACAGAAATATAATGGAAAGGGGAATTAACTTATGCTAAAACATTTCCTTTCCATCTAAAACATTCCATATTTATGAAATGCATGTAGTCTAAAAATGTAGTTCAGCTTACCTATTATCCACATTCTGGGTGTCCATAGCAGGTGTCCATGTGTGGATTTTCTTTCAGCCCCGTTGCAGCATCTGGTAAAAGTGATGTTCAAGAAATCAGCCTTCCATTTGGAGAGAAGACCCAAACTTGAATAATGTTTGTTTCCATGTCAAATCATATAAAGCCAACCTCCTCATAGGAAAAGGGGACAGCAGTACCGATTTATTGATCTAGTCCACTTCGAAGCCCAAATAAACAAGGGGTTATCCGGGTACTAGGATGGACACATCAAGGGAAACCCTCCATGTGGAAAACACATCTTCCTTAAACAGGCCTTAACATTTCCAATTATATATCTATGGAGCATTAAACCTTTGACAGATTTTTCAAAGGTTAACTTACTCGTAACACTCCTGTATTTCTTTAACTTTTAAAAGAGGTGCTTTATGCTACTAAAGTGAAATTCATGCTTTATCACTATGGAGCATTTGTTGAAACTTACAATAGAATAGCTCACAAAAATTATAGAATATTCCAAAATCAGTTTTGCGAAATTATACTTACAATCCGTTTTACATCACACTCCTCTTGCTTCCATGGGTTAGGATGATGGTCCCATCTCCCAATGGAATTTAAGAGGCAGGTCAAGTATTCTACAAGGACCCTCTTTCCAGCCTCGGACTGTGGCTGGGCTTGAACCACTCATTGTATTGGTCTTCCTGTGCGCCAGTTCTAGGAAATCGGTCAAATTATCCAAAGCCGCTTTCCATCACTGACGAATAATCTTGTATGTGCCTGTTTGCAATAGAATTACGCAAGTTAATTTCACAATAAGCTAAGGATCACCTAAATATTCAAACTTATTTAAAAGTAGTTTGTCAAGTATCAGACCTTGCTTTCCGCAAAAACGAGGGAGGCAAAGATCATCAACTTATTTAATCTTGTCCATTTTCTACGCCCAAAGAACAAGAAAAGCTTTCTGGGTTCTAGCATGGACATATTTGGATAATGTTACTCCATAAGAACATTTTATTCAAGCTCAAAATCCAAAAGATAACTATAATAAAATATACAGGATTAACTTTCATGCCATTTTTGTCAACTCTTGAAAATGTGCAAAAGTAAATTCCTCTATACATTCATTAAAATAAAAAATATATGCATCCTGCCCAAATGAACTCGTCCGATTCCCAAACAAGAAGGTCTATCCTAATCCTTAAATGTTCAAGTAACACAAGTTCAAAAGTTCCGGTTATCTATACTTACCATGAACGCAAGTTATAGGTCTTGTAGCAATTCATCCTGGCACCTGGTAGGAAGAAAAAACATTTTAAAATACATGGCTTTAAAATACATGGCCTAATAATTCTTAACTTACATGCAGCACTTTCTCGCAAGGCATACTTCCACGACACTAAATTACGGCTCAAATTAAACGGAAACAATAAAGGAAAAACTCATGCTATCAAAATTATAGTCACGCACATTACATGTCTGTGGATCTTGTAAAGTCTCGAGTTTTTGCCTGCACCAAAGAGGGAAACAGCAAAGCGAATCAACTTTTTATTTTAATCTTGTCCATTATGCTACCCAGCAAGCTGCGGTTGGGCCGACAGGGTTATTAGAATGGACGGACCAGTAAAACTTGAGAACGAACATTATGCTCCGGAAAAAATACTCAACCTTACTACATTAACCTAAAATCCAAATTTTAATCTATCCTCAATCATCAACATAACTTAAAAGTACTTTTCTGTTAACGAGTAAAGCGTAATATTGAAAGACCTGCTGTTAACAACGGTAATATACTTATATTTATATTATATACTTAAACTTATATTACTTATATAATATAATATAGGTAATATACTTACTTATATTACTGATATATTATATAATATAATATAGGTAATATACTTATACTTATATTACTGATATACTTCTATTTACACTTCCGTGAAATCTCCACCTCGTGTTAAAATGAAACTACCAATCGCTTTCCATTCAGAAATCTACAAGAATGGCCGACTCTTGAACCGGCTCATTCTATTTTCATTCAGCCTTAAAATAATACTTAAAAACACTTAAAAACAGTTAATGTGATGAATGAATGCGTAGGAATGCACCTTCTCGACAATCATGGAAAATGTGGTTAAATGTATCACGAGTAGATAGAAGAAATATTTTAACATCCACCGGTAACGATCAATCAAACTTTAAAGTAATATACAGTAATATACTCTGACGCGTCTCGTTAATACTTAGCCAAGCAATAACATCACTCTCTATCCATCTATCTCTCTCTCTCTCTATCTATCAAAACACATAAAAAGAGAAATTAAGGAGTCAAAAAAATCGCTTTCTCACCCGACTCTGAGCGCCGTCTTCCCTCCACGTGGCGCCGCTGCCTTCTGGGCCGCTTCCACCCAGCCGGCGACGAGGCTGCTTGCGGGTACATCTTTCGAAAGCCGTTTTTCTTTCTTTCTTATTATAGGGGACTTGGGCATGGGTGTGGCTGTATGTCATATGTGAGAATTGATGATTCTATATGAGTTAAACTGATACTGAGCTATTTAAAAATGTGGTAGGGAATGGTAGAATTTGGAGGCAATTTTGAATTTTAGTTATGGTGGAGCGAAAAAAAATGTCATGGATATGCTGGTAAGTATACGCAAATTTATAGATATACACTTACAAGGATGTATATATATATATATATATATATATATATATATATATATATATCATACAACTGATATTTCTGGACATATTAATTGATTATGGGTGGATATTCGATATTCATTTGGTTTTTTTTTC